AGAAGAAGAAGAAGAAGAAGAAAGAAACAGAGATGACGAGGATACATCGATAGCTCGATCGATTCACCGAGGGAGTAATGGCACGTTCATGGTACGGAAGGGACTTCACCGAGGGGAAGATGTCTGAGAACTGCTGATCGAGAGAGAGAACGTTCAAGGGCCCCAAGGACTTTCGGGGAAGGAATAAATCGAAGAGGAATTCCACTCGTAAAACGCGAAAGAGGGACAAAAGGAACGATTCGCGTATTACATTCTGGATATATATATATACATGTACACACATGCGAGCAAGCGTATCTTTGCTTTCACGTGCAGAGCGACTTGTGCTTGCTACTCTTTGCTCGGACTAGATAGTAAATCTGTATGTACACGTATGCCGTGTACGTTTAACACTGGAACAACCGGCTTTTAATATGCATCAAAATATTCTATATGTAAATCGTCACAATTTAAATGATAATTTTAATTTATTCGAAATACACGAGAGAAATTTCTTTTGTGCAAAGGGAGAAACGAAGGAACAGGCGTCGAGGTGAATACCAAGAACGACATTAAAATACAGAGTAGATAAATAACACACGGTACAGGCAAGCGAGATGATTAAAATAAACAGGCTTGTACAATTACGTTTCTGTCCAAACAGAGATCAAAAATTCGTTATATTCGTTAATTTCTCAATGCTTAACCGCTTATTAGAATACAAGTGGAAAATATCCGAATCTCGACTATTAAGATTACTTGCTACTTCGACTACGAAAATTGCTACAGCATTGAAACACGGCTGAAGTTATAATCTGGTTCTAGAAACGAGAGCTAATGCCGGCGAACTAATTTGCCAGTACTTTGTACGGATTCCAATGCTGTTTACGAGCGACGGTAACATACATAAGAGATTTTTGGCAGCAATCTCGACGTTTCGATTTCCGAACGAAACGTGGAACGAACCGCACAACGAGCGTCGTTACCCGAGCGTTACCAGACGCGGCTAACGCTAATTAAACCGAGCGGAGTATTAGGAAGATTCGAACTATCCGTGTCGTTATGTAAATTTTCTAAGCCAGTCTCTGCCTTGGATCCGCCGCGCGGAGTTTGTCCACGCGTAGAGCCGGATGGGAGGAGGGGGGGAGCTCGATTACGTCGCTCGGATAATAAGCAAGTCTGTAACCGATGTCGAGAGAGGAAAGCTGGAAATCCCGATAGAGTTTGTTGGGAAGTTTCGTCGAGCAGATATCTCTCTCTCTCTCTCTCTCTCTCTTTCTGCAGCGCGTTTCACACGCTCCGGACGCGAAAAATAGACGCGCGCGAGTAGAAGGAAGAGCTGGTATGCAAATTGGATTACGCGATGCGAAATAAGTGTTGCAACGTTGACGTGTATGTTACGACACACATGTACATATGTGTCGAACTGAGAGTAGGAAGGAAGGGAGGAATTTAGCGGGACGCGTGCATTATGCTTTCTTGCCGTGCTCAACATTCGCGACGAATTATTTCTGTCTCTCGCGAGTTTCGGCTGGCAAAAGAATTTGCAATCATCACTCTGCGAGTGCAAAATTCAGACCTACCCCTCCCACCGCTCCCCGCCGTGCATGCATAAACGGAATTTCGCGAAAAATATTCATTACGTAGAAAACTACGCGTGTTAAAGCGTAATCTGAAAGGGAAATGAATTTGGCGACTGTATTTCATTACTGCGGAAACACTCGTCCCGCGTTTCGATTTCTTCACCGATATACTGGAGAATTCCAGTTTTTCCTTCGTTCGAAATTTCGCAAGGTATATTTGCCATTTAAATGGAGGCAATTTAAATTCCTCGTTCGTAGAGGGACGGTGTGACAAAAAGGACAACGGTGTAACGAAAAGGACAACAAACAGGTAGGAAACGAATTTCGGAATAAAAAAAAACCAAGCGAGAAAGAAGCCAGATTGCGTTGCATAATCTAGCGTCAGCGCCGGCGGATGCTCGAAGAATTTTAATTATGAAACGCAGTTCTATAAACGCGAATTTGAAGAATGTTTGAAATGAAACGCAACTTGTAATTACGCTTACGTAAAATTAACGCGCAGCAGAGACAAGATTCGTTCCCGGAAGCCTTTGCCACGCGCGAGTTTTCTTGTTGCCGCCACGAGCATTGCGTTCTATTTAGAATGAAACATCCGATAGCAAGTAACAAGCTTAATTGATAAGAACGTTCATAAATGTTCGTTACACAGAGTCACGTACAAACAGAATTTCGAGCTGTACTTGATTTCATTATTATCGTTGATTGATCTACCACGGCACTCTTTGGCCACAACGCAGCGAGGGGGCACCGTTGTATCTCGCTGCGTTTCTCATTTCCGGTACCGCGGTCTGCGTTTGCGAAACTGCATTCGAGTAATTATGAAGTGAAACACACCGGGATCAGGTAGTTGTATCACGTTCAATTTGTTACTTGTCCATACAATCCCGGGCAACAATTCCAAATTGACCAACTCTTGGCCAGTCGCGTTCGCAAATAGTCGTACACCGCGGGCTTTTACCCCCGGTTTCCCTCGAATATTCAAATAGTTCCTGCTGTCCGTATTCCTTGTAATTAGTTCCAGTCGAACTATCCTTCGACCAGCTGCGTCCAAATTCGTAATAAATGATCGAGCCGGACGCTCGGCAAACTAACGCGAGCGCGGAACTGTGGAATTTCAAGATCTCGAAACTTTTCGACCGGCGACGCGGGCGAATGCGACCGCGGACGGCCTTCGTTCTAGGGCGAGCCGACCGATCGTGACGTTATTCCGCGAGCGATAATTCGACGAAAGACGTCGGGAAGTGAAGCACGATAGAACGCGAGTACACAATCGCGAAAAAGTGCGAAACTATGCGAAGTGAGGTTGATAAGTCGACGACGGCAGAGCTGGATATTGCCTCTTTCCCACCGGGTTTCCCCCTTCGACGAGCGAAACGCGCTCGTTTACATCGAAGCGGTAATAAGCCACGCTCGAACGCATCGTCGAAGCCTCTCGGGGATTCACGCTGTCGGAGAAATTTCTCGTGGATGTGTCCGGACGCTCGCGTTAGTGTAGCGAATGAATATACACGGGGGGAGAGGGGGGAGGGGGGCAAGGGAAAATAGAAAGTGGCCTCTCGAAAAATACGGTGTGGAAAAAGAAGGGTGGAGATCGAGCGACTGAATTGATGTTTAACACGTTGATCGGCGAGTAAGTTTCTGGCAGGTCCACGAATCCTTAGGGCTCGTTTTTATATTCCATTTTATACGTTTTCGTTTTCTATTCTTTTGCTTCTACGTTTTTGCTTTTCATTGATTTTTGTTACGTTCACGTGCTCTTCAGTGTTGGGTCTTCAAGTTTGAAGTTTTCACGCATTTTCTGCATCCCTCAAATGTAGACCATTTACAGAACTTACAATAAAATCCCTAATCTCACAGTTAATAATGTAATTACGACTAATTCAAAATAATTTAACAATTAATTATATTATTGTTACGTCGTTGTTTGACAATTTAATTCGTTTAACTTGAAAGTAATTTATTATAAAAAAAACTTCGCTTTTCTACTAGACACTATTACATCTTTTCTTGTCTGAAAAATTTAAAATTAGGATCGCCACCCATACGACGCCTGTTTACGCGTTCTTCTTTTTGAAATTTGACGAAACTCCTTCAATTAATTCTTGGTACCGAACGGAAACGCAGCTAGTCGGAAAGGAGGACTGGCAAAATACTGGTGAAGAGCGTGGCTTCGTAATCAGGAAGGATAACCCGAATTTTTTGGGAAACACGACTGCGAAAAGTCTCGCTGCGAATGCCGTGTTTCCGAGGCTTCTCTCTGCGGGCGAAAAGCCTCGGCGATAGTGACTGAATAACGGGGGAAAATGAGACGAATATGAAACGTGAAATACTGAAATAAGTTTACTCGTCTCTCTGATAAATTTCACGCAGGGAAGGATGTTGGTCTGTGTGCCTTAACCGGTTCAAACATTAATCGGTGAAATATCTCGGCGTGCGTTGTATAAACTTCCAATCGGACATTTCGCAACATTTCACGACATTTAATTGAAAAAAAAAAAAAAAAACAAAAGAAGAGAAAGAAAGAAAAAGAAAAACAAGTGGCGCCGAGGATGAGGAAAAATATTCGATGGGACGTGTGTTTAATAGCCTCTGAACTACGCGTATAAATTCAGCACCGGTGAGAACAAAGGGCGGTAATGTATCATAGAATAATACACGCCGTTAATAATGCGACGATGGTAAATGCTGCAATGCGTATTATAGATGCAAGCTTGAAAAGGTTAACACGCAAAGACAAACTGCCGTTGGAGGGAAACAAATCTGGTACAATGACAATTCGTTCGATATCGACGATATTGAACTCTCATGTGTACACACGTTTACGTTCATTTTTATGTTCCAGTACAATTTTATAGTAATTTGCGTTAATTTTACATCAAGTATCAAGGTTGAGAATCAGAGAATACTTTAGCATCTCGACGGAAATATTCGAAGATACCAAGGATTGCAAGATAAGGGAAAACTGACGCGATGCACCGCGAAACATTCTCCTCTGGCGAAAGAGAGAGAGAGAAAGCAAGAGCTCGGCTCCGTGATTCATTCCTGTGTGATCGCGAGAAGCTGAAACGAATTGCAAACTGACACGGAACGCCGGGGAATCGGAGTCAGTCGGTTACATAATAAGCAAATCTCGAATCAAGAACGTTCTCTCGAACTGCTTGGCTCGATGGTGATGTAGGTAGGCCCCCTCTCCAGGGAGAAACATTTCCTCGATGCTCTCCGCATTCTTCGCAAGGGATCGAGAGAGGGCGCCGAGGGTGAAATAGACGGGGACAGGTAGATTCTCTCGAACACGAGAGAACGGAAAGAAGGGAAATACGAAGGTAAAACGACTACGACGAAAAACGGAAGGAGGTATGGTAAAAAAGGGAGAAAGAGGGACAGAGACAGAGACAGAAGAAGAAGAAGAAGATAGAAAAGCAGAAAAAGAGAACTTACCCTTGCCAGAGCCACGGCTGGAAAGCTGTCCCATGCGAGTTGCGCTTCCTCGCCGGTGCTTCCATGACGCTGACCCGAGAGGATCCTCGCAGCCGTGAGAGTGCTCATCCCCATCCCGTCGCCAACGAAGAGAACGACGCCTCGTGCCACGCCACCCGGTGGCGTCGTCCCGCTGACGCTCGAACTTGCCGCCGACGCGCGAATACGGGCTACGATCGCGCGTGTCGCTGCCTCATACCAGACCTCCCTCTCTGCCAACAGAAATTTTTCTCGCCTGAGTAACCGCCGAACCGAAGCCAGCCCGACACCTATCTTAATTGAATCTATAGTCTTCGGCCGTTCCCCGGGAAAATCGGCCATTATTGTCGGCATTTGCCGTAAGCGTTGTCCCGTTATCGTTCTTTATCGTCGCGTGTACAGAGGAGACGTTTCAAGCGAATCTCAAGGGTAGGAGGGACACGCTTTGTCACGTCGCGTGAAACACACTTTGGCCGAACTTGCTTGCTTTCAGCCGTACACGCTCGTATATTCTTCTCCATTCTCCTCTCTTTGACTTTCGACGAGACAGGGTAATTATTCAACGACGACGATCACCTTCGCAAAGCATATTTACGAAAGGTGACTGACACAGGGTTCTTCTCGAGTCCGAAGCTGCGATACACACCGAAGAGTTACGTTTTGAAATTTTCTCATTAACGAGATAAAAGTCGATGTTCCCTCGCGAATATTTCAAGCAAATTTCTTATAAACGACACGTGCATATTTCACAAAGCTACTCGAACTGAGAGATACAACGTATTTCGGTGATTGTCGTCTTTCAAGGCGAATTTTCCGACACTCGACAAACGCACCATCAAACCCACGATGCCAGTTTATTCAAGCACGCCGCTTCTTCTCGAGCAAGGAGAAGCTCGGGTCCCGTTGGAATCGTCGTGTCGACCAGCTTGCGACGACCACGGACGGCCCGCACACGCTACCGGTTCGAACGTTGCCGAAGAGACCGGATATCTTAATTGAATCTGTTGGCAAAACGACTCGGCCGAGTCCGACTGTTTCTCGGGGAGTCATTTACCGCAGTTATCCCGGGGAAAAAGAAGGAAAATCGTCGTACGGAGAGAACGAGAACTTTACCGAGACGTCGTACGAGCGATAGATCTCGATACGAACAAGTTACACCGACCGTAGTTCAGAAATATCGAGGTTCGTTCGTATTTAATATTATTAATTCTTCAGAGGCAGGCAGGAATACTCGTTGGACTTTCAAAAAACCATTTCAACTGAGGGTAAATCCTCTCCACTTGTCGCGTAAGACGTATAAATATTTATGAGAAGGATTATAATATGGACATCTTGATTTTTCATCTAATCTGCTGAATCTGGAGGACTCGTTTCCCACCCGTTGCAAATTTCGTGAGAATTTCTAGGGGTTAGGAGATAGCCGTGCAATTCACAGTTTCTTTACCGTGACTTGGACTAGTTTCATTGAAAATTAAATTCGAGAGAATCGACTCTTACGAGTCTTAAAAATAAAAGATGAATATCGTTGTTTTCGTGATTTCTCGATCGTTGGAAATAACAAACTGTTCCTTATATTATTTTCCACTATTTTTTACTGCGACCTATTCTGCGAAATTTTTAGTGATATCTAAACACGGTTCAAGCATCGTGTTCAAAGGAAAGGAACGTTTCTGGAACGTTTCATTAAAAACTGAATTTGAGAGACTCAAGTCTTACGAATCTTAATAAAAAAAAAAATAAACAAACATAAAAATAAAAATCGTTGTCCTTGTGATTTCTCGATCATTGGAAACAAAAAACAGTTCCTGATATTATTTTTCACTATTTTCGCTTATTGAGTATTTTTCACTATTGCGATCTATTGCTAAATTTTTAGGAAAAGACATCTGACACACAGTTCAAAGAGGAAAGGAAACGTTTCTGACGAAATCGTTAAAACGTCACCATCAGAGAAGTTCCAGCTGGCAATAGCAGAAGTTTGGTTGACAGAGCAAGTTCGGTAAATTTGTATCCACGACGATTTCATTCGATGGTGGTTGACGACGGTGCAACATCGCCGGAAGCGCGTTGACGATGAACGACTGTTTCCTACAAACTGCACCAGTCGAAGATCCCGCCGTTACGGTTTGCCGAGAAACACATCGCCCACTGGTAGCCGCTAATGGGTAAGTTTAAGCTCTGGCGTACCTAGTAAACTGCCATATCGTGTCGCGATATTGGCCAAACCCGCATTTCCATAAAAGCAAGATCCGATACGTGTTACACCGACCAAGTTCAATCCGTATCTCCACCCCTGGAGACGTATATCCGTGCTGCGAAACTGCGTCAAAGTAAGTACAAATTCCACGAAAATGCGTTCCACTGCCGTGTACAATTATTCGCATTGATACTCTGACACTAAATAAATTATTAAACTGTTACGATTTCGTAAGTGAAAATTCCACAACAATAATAAAACAAAGAATTAACTTTTGAATCCTTTACTTTCGGAATGTGTCGTTTATTATTTCATTCCAAAATGTTTTTGCATCTACGCGTGAGAAAGTGAGGATACTTTTCTTCTCGAAACTTTTTTTCATAACTGGATCTACGATAAATTTGAGGATTGAAGCTTCCTTGTTATAATGACCTCTTTTTGATTTTTTCTCAACATTTTGTTGAATTTTGAACAGACGGAAATTTAAGAAACCGTAAAATTCAATGAAATGGCGAAAAATATCGCGCATAATGTTTTAGGGTATCACTGTAAGTAGGAAGTTTCAGTCTTCAAATCTATTGTAGACTCAGCCCTAAAAAAAAATTTTTCAATGTTATAACAATTTTAAAAAGGAAAGTGTCTTCACTTTTCCACCCGCTACGTAATGTAACAACATCTTGGAATAAAATCAATGGTGCATTTTAAAAATACAGATTTCGAGCTTTTGGAATGAAGCCAGATTTTATTTCTTAAAAACAAACTGTCCAGGATGTACGATATTTTACAACTGTAACAGTTGAATATTTAGTATTAATATAGCTGTATGTATATAAATGTCATTTTGATGACTGAGCAGTCCCTCGCAGGGAAACACCATTCTTTTTTTTTTCATTTTTCTAATCAGATTTTTCTTTTATTAGGACATTTTAGCTTTATTCTATCATCGAGAATAAAACATATGTATATATAAACATTGATAGTGTATTTTCGTTAACGTGAAAATTTATTTTATAACTCGTTCAATCACGTATCTTCCTTCTGTGCTCAAACGATCCCAGCGTTAACGCGATTTATTTTTCATTTGTCAAAAAAAAACTATGCACCGAAATCGCAGTGCAAACAGCACAACGAGCAAAGAACGGAAAGATCGTTTAACCAACAAAACGACACAGATATTTACGCGTTTATTTACATTATACAAAGAACAGAAAGGAAATGGAAAAAAAGAGAAAAAAAGAGAAAAACGCGAATCTCGCTTCCGACCGAAGCATTATAAATTATTGCGTTTAAAATCGCAGCGGTAGCAATGTTTAAAAAACGTAAATATGATATCTGTCAATACAACACCGTGGAACGTCAACGATACGTCCCGGTGCGCAACATTTTTGATAAACACGTTCACGCGGCGATGATTAATTTAAATTTAATACAACGCCGGATTAAAACGGATGAAATTTCACGTAACGAAGTTTAATTTCTATTTCGGGAACACGAGGCGCAAATAGAATCTCGGGTATCGTTGGATATATGAATTTTGCAAATCTGCGGATCCGCGTGCAGTCGAAATGGTAAAAGCGGTCTCGCCGTAGTTGTAGCGCGGCAACTCGTTGCGATTAATCCAGCGAGAAACAAGGTGATGAAATTTATGTTTCACATTGCAAATATCGCTGCCAAATTTTACACGCCCACGGTTAATCACGATTTTCAATCGCGGCTCGTTCGTGCCTTTTTTTTTTTTTCTTTTTTTTTGTTTCCACGGTCACGCGCCATCTTCTCCACACACAGGTATAATTTCCAACGCGAATCGGCCGCGTTTTTCCCACCCCGAGAGCGCCTTCGATCGTTACAATCAATTTTCAAAGCCGCGTGTCGAGCCGCGTGCGCGATATCCCGTTGAATTTCGTAATCGAGTGAAGGCACGATGTCTATGCAGTCATTCAAATTGATTGAACGTCCGCGAATTACACGGCGATACGGTGGAATGATCCGCTCGCGAGGGGGGAAAAAAATTGCACGCTCTGCCGATGAAATGTCGAGCGTTCGAGCGAGAGATCGGCTCAATGAAAGCGGTGGCCTCAACGCGATCCGCGTCGAATATTTTCAGCCGTCAAATCGCGCTCGCTCGCGTCGATAAATCTCGCGAGCGTCTGAAGGTTAGGCATCCAGAGATTTGCGACTGATTCGCGCTGATAGTCGATGAAACGCAGTCGAGTCGAGCTCGTGGAATTTATTTCGCCGCGCGAGACGCTGATAAATATTTGCGAGCTCGCGGATCGAAGTCCGAATCAGAATGCACGAGTCGTGCCAAACGCCGATATTCTAAATATTCATAAATAAATACCGCCTGTCGATGATACGTTTGAGATCGACGCTGCCGCGTGGATGTAGACGCACGTGCGTCCGCAGCATTGCCACAACAGTATAATTCGGAATTTAATCGCCAAGAGTTCGCGTGTGCGGTTAGGTTACCGTGGACACTCGTTGAGTAACATGGAACATGCGGACGTTGTAACGTACGTCATTTAGAATAGTTTCCAATCTCTCGTGTTTCTGATTACGACGACGCGTGGTTCTGAAATTACGTGAAATTTTTCGATGCACAAAAGTCGGAGATTTATCCATACGGTGACGACATTAATATTCAGTCGACCGTAAAATGTAATTTTCGTTTATTTTGTTCCAAAATGTTTCTACATCACTTAGCGAGTGAATAAACGAAGATACTTTCCCTCTCGGAAATGCTATAAATTGCATTTTACATGCACAGTAGGTATGTAAAAACGTTGAAAAAATTTTTTGAAATCAGAGACTTCGAGCTCAGAAACGAGTTTATTAACCGTACAGTGTCTATTTACAAAATTGTGACAGTTTCAATATTTAGTGTCCGAACACTGGTCACCGTATACAGAAATTATTACACTTTTGAAAACTTTCGCAGGTGGGAGCGTCAAGACAATGTGTCCAGAAGAAAAATTGTATGGAAAGATGTAGGAAGGCTTGATTTATCGTCGAAAGAAAGATGGAGGACGTGCGAAG